TTGGGAAATCTGAAGCTGTTCTTGGTTGTTTGTACACGTCTGGTCTGGCCCTGTCTAGAAACTTATAGAATTTTCTCTTTGCCTCAGGTGTTCTGCATTTTCACAGTTTATTCCCTTGTGTGGGTCTGTCTTTATCCATTGGGTAATTGGGGGGCCCCTTTCAGTTCACTGGTTGTGTCTGTCAGTTTGAGAATTTCTCTCAAGGACTTCCTCCTCCCCTTTCTTTTGTTGTATCTATCATGAGCTATTATTTTATTGAATGTTAGACTTCTGATTGTGGTCCTCTGGTTTTCTTTTCTTTTCTCTCCAGTTTTCCTTTTTGCCTTTTTCTTCTTCGGATATGTGTGTGTGTTGTTGAATTTTCCTAGAAGATTTCCTTATCTTGATCTTCCAATTCTTCTATTGAATTTTTGTTTTCTGCTACCATATTTTTATTTTCTAAGACGTCTTTGGTAGCATAGTGGCTAAGACACTTGCCTGCTAACCAGACGGCTGGCGGTTCAAACCCACCAGTCACTCCTCGGAAGGAAGGTTGGGCAATCTACTTCAGTAGTGATACTGCCTCGGAAACCCAAGGAGGGGTCGCTATGAGTTGGGGCCAACTCGACGGCACATAACAACAACAACAACAAGACGTCTTTTGTTCTCAGAATCTCTTTAAAAAAAATAAATAGTAAAACCCTGATTAATTTCATGGGTGTAATATTTTCTCTTACATTTCTGAGCATATTAATTACAGTATTTCTTTTTCTTTTATGTGCATAGTCTGTCTGTCTTCTAAATTGCATCTTCCTAATATTGACTGCTAACCAGAAGACAGGCGGTTCAAACCCACCAGCACTCCTCAGAAGGAAAGTTGGGCAATCTACTTCTGTAGTGATACTGCCTCGGAAACCCAAAGAGGGGTCGCTATGAGTCGGGTCCGACTCTGTGGCACACAGCAACAACAACGATATTTGCTTTGATCTCTCTTCTGTCCTCAGATGTCCCCTGAACCTTTATTCTCAGCTCCTGATTAACAATGTGTGGCTACCTAGCTGATTGGAAGCTCTGAGCAAGTGGGTGGGCGTTACCAGTTTTGAGCTTAACTACTGAACTGAGTGATTTTCACAAGGTCTTTTGTTGGAGAATCCCTGTTGTCCGTATCTGTAGGTCTTTCCTCTGTGAC